CTGGATTGGTGCCAAAATCATCCGTGCAAATGCCCATAAACTTTCCAATGGTACCTGTACAGTGGGCCTATAGTATTCTGTAGGGGAGAAGCAATGTACAAAAGTTATGACGGGAAATAATCAAAAGTTGATTGGTTAAAATCTTACCTTTTGAAATCAAAATAGTATTCGTCTTCAGTAAAGTTTACAGCATTATCGGAAAACAGCACAAAACCTTTAGTTCACAAACAACACAGGTTGTGCATGAGTCTTCTACAATTGAAATATCAATTACAATTGACAGTGTATTCAAATTGAGCATCCATAAAGCCCTGATAGGTTTAGATTGTAAATTGAACAAACCATTCAGCCTCAGTTAATGAGCATCAGCAACACTTGACATCAGTATTGTGACACACTGTTTGATCACAAGCCACAAAGGAAATAGTTCCAACATGATGATTTTGGTGCCAGTCCTCACATCAGATATTAGATAAGGTGACAAATGGGCCAAACTCCCAAAAAGTCAGTAAAGATCCTATGAAATGGAAATACCAATGTCCTGTTAAACTGTGGCTTCTGGAAAAGAGTGAACATTTAAGTCCTGATGAGGCCAAAAAAAAGTTAACGTACAAACCTCTGTACAAGCAAATATCAATAATTCATATGATCAATCCAACCCATGCAAACTGTCTTGCACTTCGTCTCTCAAACAGCATTAAATCACTCTGGGGATTGTAACATGATATTGCTACACCATTCAATCAGTATTGCCCCAAATGGATGAAGAGCTGAATATCATCTGAAAGTAAACAATGACTGAACTCAGTGCAAATGGAAACTATTCAAACTACTCAAGGAAATATAGTATAGGTCCTTAAAACACAGGGTGTGACGTGACACTGGTGGATTATTAACATTGGTTAAGAAAGGCTGTAAGAAAAGGGGATGAAATATTGAATATTCATTAGTATTGCAACAGCATTTTAAGAGTGTACAAAATCTTTAAAAAAAATCTCAAGAGATGGATAATACTGAGAGAAATGTGGAGGGTAGGGGAGGTATATTACACCCAGAAAATAACAAATCACTCCTACAAAGTGCGCAAGAGCAGAGGTCAAAACACAAAATCACAAAATTGTGCTGAAAACACAATCACACAATCACAGGGGAACTGATAGGGCAGGGTGACAAGAGACCCTGCACATTTTTAAAATCAGTTATTTCTTCAAATTACATGTACAACATATATATATATATACACACATATATATATATATATACACACAT